CTGAAAGCATATATATATGGTCTATATCATTTTTTATGATTTCGAGACATGTGAACAAACAATAAGTTCTTTTTTCCAAAACTTTGATCACAAAATTTACAGAAATACGTAAACATGCCGGGGAAATGAATATTTTCTATGTGTTTGGTTAAAGTATTCTTCTGTGAGCAATCTTTGTGGCAGATTCTGCAGCGGTACTTGACGAATCCAAACTCTTCAACCCGTTCAATATGCTCTCCGAACACGGAGTCGTCACCGAACACTGAAAATATTAATAAAATGAAAATGTTTTACAAATAATTATTTATCTATGGTTTTTATACACGTGTTTGTACAGTTGGTTCTTTTTCCCAAAAGTTGCCTCACAATGCTGACAGTGATATGTGTAAGTGTTGGGAAAATGAATGTTTTCAATGTGTTTTCCCAAATTACACTTTTGACTGAAATCTTTTCCACATAGATCACATCTGTAAGTTTGCAATCCGTCCACGCTGAGAGTCGAAATATACTGGGAGAACTCAGACACCATCCCTAAATAAATTTAAAGTATTAATATGTGGTTAGTATTGCTTATAAATTGAACTGTTGTTTCTATTAATTGTAGTCTTTAATTAATAACTTTAACTACTGTAGATTCGCTCAATGTATGACTTATCAAGGATAAAATTAAATATATACTAAACACAGATTTACATATGCCTATATTTCATGCATAGCTCTATATTGTCCCGTTTTTATGCATTTTATAAATATGTTTGTAAAGTAGATTCTTTTTGCCGAACGTTTCTTCGCAGAATTTACAGTAATACGTGTACGTTCCGGGGAAGTGAACGTTTTCAATATGGTTTAGAATATTGCACTTCTTGTTCACACTTTGACCGCAGATAGTGCAAACAAAATCATAGACTTGTCCCTTGTCATCTCGCCGAGTTGTGAAGTGCTGGGATAGGTCAGGCCGGTCACTGCAATCTGAAATAACATGATTAACTTAAAAACCGGTTGTGGATATTAACATTATTCTGTTAAGAGAAAAAGGTTTTCGCATCATAAAATAACAGCTATAAAAATAAATTGAATCCCTTAAAAAACCTGGTTTCCAAACACATGTAACTTTTTTTTAAACTTTAAAACTGGCATTTACAGCAATAGCGTATTGCTGTAAATAACAGTTTTTATGCAGAAATTTCTTTCAGGGCCACAAAATTAAAATAGATTTTACTTTATTTCGAGGAAAAAAACATAACATCTTATTTAGGATGATTCTTTGATATATGTTTATACAGATTATTCCTAGTTCCAAAACTTTCGGGGCAAAACTTGCAGTAGTAAGTGTAGGTTCCGGGGAAGTGTATATTCTCAATGTGTTTGTTTACAGTCCCACTCTCCTTAAACTCTTTTCCGCACAGAGTACAACGGAATTTAGAACCGTCTCCTCGGTCGATATAGCTCGAGAAATTAGATCGTGGATTGTCACCTGAAAAAAAGGAAAAAATTAAAACAACTTGAAAATATATATATATAATCATGCAGTTAAGATTTAAAAAACATTTATATTACAGATAAAACATTTATTTCAGCCTTTTATTATAAAATAAAATTTCTCCTATTTATGGTTTTTAGTGATGTGCATGTACAGAAGGTTTTTCTTCCCAAAGGACATGTCGCAGAATTTGCAAAAGTACTGGAACTGGTCTGGGAAATGAATATTCTCCACATGCTTCTTAGCACTGCTACCATCACTGTAGACCTTGCCACAAAGCTTGCAAAGGACTCGAATCCCGTCACCAACCCGTTCAGTGTACTCGGCAAAGTTGGTAGTTGCTCCTAAAAATTTAAATATTAAATTTTAGTTGTAACAATATTTAGTTCGCTGTCCAGATTAAAAACCAGATGAAACATTTTCTATGTATTTAATTCTACAAACTATGTACAGAAAATTACGTTTTTTTTCATAATTACAAAAATACATCAATTCTAATATGGAACCAAAATTCATGTTTAAAGCACTTAAAATTTAAAAATAAAAAAGTTAAAAAATCTTATTTTGAAAGACAGGAAACCAAAAACGACTGACGAGAAATACAAGAAATAATACAAAGAATAAAGAATAAGCTCACGAGCTAACAGAATCGTATTTAGTTGTTCAAAGCTTAGACTACGAATTAGGATAGTCGATCCTCCATCTTGTGTTTCTTCTTGTGATTGTTTAGTTTGGTTTTAGTGTCGAATGATTGGCTGCAGACAGGACAAGTGTAGGTAAACCGTCCAGGAAAATGTTTAGACTCGACATGATTTCTAATTTAACAATACTCGTCACAATTCACTCAAAAAAATGTACTTTTAAAAATTTCAACAAAAAATTTACTCAAATAGGAAATTTTTAGCTTATTAGGAAAACTTGTTAAAACATTTTTATTTTTTAACAATACTCGTCACAATTCACTCAAAAAATAAAGTTTTGAAAATAGACAAAAAAAAATGTTACTAAAAAATATAAATTTTATCTTCTTCGGAATTTTTTTTTCTATTTTACCAACACTTGTCAGAGTTTAATAAAAAATGAACTTCTGAAAAATTTTACACAAAAATGAAAAATTATAGAATTTTGGGGCGAATATTCAAAAACAGCATTAAATTTTCTTTTAAATTATATCCCCCCCCCCTCCCAAGATCAAAACAATAATAATTGAATCTGTGATGACATTCCTAACGCATGTTGCGGTGAGATGATTGAAATCGTAGCAGATTGTGCAGATGTTCCCGCCGTCCTTCTTCTCTATAAACCTGTACAGGTCGTTTGGGCAGAACAGCTCGTCGTCAACAGAATCTGTAACAAAGGTCAATAAGTACATAAACGTTCAACATTGTTACTTTCTGTGCAAAAATAAAACCAAACGTTGAGATAACATGCTTCAAATAATTTATTGATTAAAAACATATTTGTAATTAATACAATCACATTGTGGAGTGAAGTTTGGAAATATGAATGTTTAACTGGTTTCTTGTTCCAAATGTCTCATCACAATACTTGCAAGGATACTGGAAACTATTTGGAAAATGAATATTTTCAACATGTTTTCTCATATTTCCACGATCTCTGGTAGATTTCCCGCATAGTACACATTTGTGATAAACAATCCCGTCAACTGTCTCCTTTCTCAAATATCCATACAGAGATTGCGAACCGTCTGAAATAATAAACAAACTTATTAACATTGTTATGGACCAATAAAACAAAATCATGTTCAGTCATTTATTATAACACTATTAAGATATCATTAACGTTTATGTACTCGGTACATGTGAAGAAAGTACATGTTTCTTGTAGAAAATTCTTCTTTGCAATGATCACATTTGTACACATAAGATCCAGGAAAGTGAATGTTTTCAACGTGCTTCTTCAGATTACTCGATGTTGCGCTGATTTTTCCGCATATAGTACATTTGACCCCCCCTGGTTGCAGCTTCTCCATGTATATCCCAAAATCTACGACACCTAAAAGCAATAAAATTGTAAAACCTTATTTCATGTTCAAGAAAAACTATAACAAGATTAATTTCACGGATCTATTTATTTCAGTACAATTATGAATTGATTGAATTATATCACATGTTTTGGATGATTGTGAACACGTGAAACATGATGGTTGAGATTATTCTTAGTTGTAAACAAATCCCCACACTGTTTACATATGTACTGATTGAACCCAGGGAAATGAATATTCTCAACGTGTTTCTTCAAATTCCCTCGGTTCGTGGCAAATTTTCCACACATTGTACAGGCATAACCACTTTCAGTGCTTGATATGTAACTTCCAAAATCCAAACCTAAAACAAAATAAATTGTTCATAAAATTGTTTTAAAAAATCGGCATGCATACAAAAAAATATTCAAGAACTATAATGAAATAAACATTTATTAAGTTATCTTTAGATATCCATGGTCTTAACAAAATCAAACTTTTATAACTAAGTACATTTAGATATTTTTAGTTCCATGATATTTGCTGTCTAAGAAAGCTGCAAAGATTAAATAAGCTGCTCCCCCTTGAGTGCGTTAAGCAGCTTATGAGCAGGATGCTCCTTGCTAACATGATGGTTCAACCTATTCCTGGTTGAGAACGGTTTCTGACATATTTTACACGGATATTCAAACTGTCCCGGAAAATGAATGTTTTCCACGTGCTTTCTCAAGTTTCCTTTATCTTTGGCGGATTTGCCGCACAACATACAGCGATATCCTCTGTACAATCCATCCAGGTGGTCTTCAATATAGCTGTACAAATCTAAAATAGAAAATAAATTATAAAAAGCAAGGATTAGAATAAATCGAACAACTAAGTTATAAATCATTAAAATAATATAAAGGTAGCAAAAAACAACTTTATTTCAGATCTCTATGTACTTTAGATACATGACTGTACATTCCGTTACGAGTCGGAAACTGTACACCACAATAACGACAGTTGTATGTACGAGTGCCGGGGAAGTGAATATTCTCAATGTGCTTTCTCATGTTACTCATGTCGTTAGCAACTTTCCCGCAGATGTTACATGAGACTGCACGAGCATCAACCCCTCGGGATATATACTCGTTAAATTTATCCAACTCGCCTGAAAGAAACAAAGTTTAAATTCAAGAAATATATTGATTTATTCACAACGGTTTAGAGTTACGATGGAAACGAGAAATATGACTGTACATGCTGTTCTTGGTTGAATATGACGTATTACAATATTTACAAATGTACTGCTGACTCCCAGGGAAATGTTTATCTTCCACATGTTTTCTTAGGTTGCTTTTATCCGAACTAGTTTTACCACAGAGTGTACATGTATGACTGGCACCATCCCGCCGTATGTACATATTGTAGTTGTACACTTCTCCTAAAACATGATATGATCAGAACTTTACTATAAATATAAATATATATACACACTATATTTTCAGATTTAAAAGATATTGTTTAACGTTTATTTTAAAATTCTGAACTGTCAGCTACTGTTTATGATTTATGAAATTTTGACATATGTACATAATATTTGTTTCTGCCGTTGAATGTCTCCGAGCAGTGAGGACAGGTGTAAACAAATCTATTCGGGAAATGTTTGGCCTCTACATGGTTTTGAGCGTGAGGTTTCTGTCGATGTGGTTTGTTGCAAAGTGTACATGTGTACAACTGACGCCCCTCTTCTAACCGTCGTTCTATGTACCCGTCCAGAAAATCCAAATTGTTCGGCATAAAGCTGACTTCGCCTAAACACCAATATTTATATTTTAAACTGAATTAAATCAATGTTTCCAGTTTAAACAGGATTAGATCCATGTTTCCAGTTTAAACTGGATTAGATCCATGTTTCCAGTTTAAACTGGATTAGATCCATGTTTCCAGTTTAAACTGGATTAGATCCATGTTTCTCTGGACAACGGGATTCATGACTACTCAGTGTATTCCGCTGATAGAACTCCTTACTACAGTATTTACAGTTGTAAACAAAGGATTTGGGAAAATGTTTTGACTCGACATGATTTTGAACATTGTATTTAGATTTGTGTGAAAAGGTTCGACAGATTGAACAGATCCAAGGGTTTAGAGCCCCGAGCCCACTGCGTTCGATATAAATATCGAAATCACCAAAAGTTCGCAACATCCCTAAAACATAAAAAATAAGAAAAAATGCGATGTAAAAGAGCCTAAAAATCAATTTCGGACAAAATATATTTAAACTCAAAATTGTAAAATATTGAGTGTGTGCGCTGGCTACTGATTCTTGTGTTGCGAGTGCGCGTGCTTATAGAGCTTGTTCTTGGTGTTAAACTGCAGCCCGCAATGTTTACAAGGATAACTGAAACTATTCGGGAAATGAATGGACTCGAGATGATTTGTAACATGAGGTTTCTGTCCGAACTCTCGTCCACATAATGTACAGAGGTAGGCCCTTGTGTGACTGTTTGCAGAAAACTTTATGTACACCTCTAACTCTCCAGGGTCGTGCAGTACGTCTAAAAAAACAAACAAGTAAAAAAATTGCATAAAATAACAAAAATCACTTTATTATCATGATAAACTACTTATGATAATTATGTTTGTGGATATGCAACTTGTTCTTTGTGTTAAATACATTTCCGCATGTGTCACATTTGTACTGGAAATTGTCAGGAAAGTGTACCGACTCCAAATGATTAAGTACATGGTGCTTGTGACCAAATATTTTGCCACAAGGATCACAAACGAAGGATTTTGGTGGACCAGTTGTTATTTGAAAATAATCTTCCAGCTTTATTGGTTGACCACTGTATCCTAAAAAAATTAAAATTTAACACAAATGTTTTTAATATATTTGAACAACAAACAAATATTTTATACTTTATGAACTCTACTATGTTTCTGAAGCTTGTGTCTGGTATTGAACTCAAGTCCACACAATGAACAATTATAAATGTGAGAATCTGGAAAATGTTGAGATTCTAGATGGTTTTCGACGTGATGTTTCATACGAAACTCTTTCCCGCAGATTGTACACCCGAAACTCTTAGGATAACAGTCCAGGGCTTTTATGTAATCAGAGAGAAACACAGTCTTTCCTAAAACAAGTATATTTTGTCGGTAAACGTGAAATAATAATAAATATAATTTCAGAAATGATAAGAAATACAGGAAATGTTAAAATCTACGAATCTCTATGGAACTTGAAATTATGTTTGTGCAACTTGTTTCTAGTATTGAACACAGCAGTACATGTACTGCAGGTGTACTCGCTGGTGCCTGGAAAATGTACTGACTCAATATGGTTTGTAACATGATGCTTCAGTCTAAACTCTTTCCCACAAAGGGCGCAACCGTAGTTTCTTGCCTCACCATACAGTAGGCGAATGTAGTCCTCAAAATTTCCAATTACACCTGAAAAAAAGTGAAAATTATTTCCAGCATAAAATATAATTTATTGATAAAAATATATACATAAAGCTAAATTTCAGCCATTTATACGCTTTCTTTGTGAAACTTGAATGTGTGCTTGTACAGCTTGTTCCGAGTGTTGAAAAACGACCCACAGAAGGTGCAGGGGTACGCATAACTATTCGGAAAATGTACAGATTCAAGGTGGTTGATCACGTGATCACGGCGTACAAAATCTTTGCCACAAATCTCGCATCCAAAAGCACGAGTTGAGTCCGTGTTGCTTCGAAGATACTGCTCCAAATCTTTACTCCTTGTCACTCCTGTAATAAACAAATATTTTACCATCAAATCAAATGACCATAATTTATCAAAATAAATCAAAACAATGACGTCAGCAAAACTATTTATTTTTATGATATCTATACATATGTCCGTCGTAAGCTTTACGTGTACTAATAACCTTCAGGCAAATTGTACATGTGTACTGCTGAGTGTTAGGGAAGTGTTTACTCTCAAGATGACACCTAACATTGTACTTTGTTTTGTGCATGAACTGAGTACAGATGGTACATGCATGTAAACGATATCCATCAGTTGAGGGGAAAGTGCTGATATACTTGTCTAAATCCCGGCGCTCCAGTGGTCCTACGACAAAAACAAAAATAAGACCAAAATAAAAAAATTTGAGCGAGCAAAAATTTAAAAACTGTAGATTTATATTCGTGGTAAGAACTCTATATTGTATAACCTAGAGTGGATATTCTAAATTGTTTAAAGTTTCCAACTGCCGATGTTTTCTGTACATGTGGTTTTCCAAAGCTTTCTTACTGCTCAGAACTTGTTCACACTTAGTACAGGGATATGCGAAAACCCCCTTGAAGTGCACACTCTCAACATGGTTTCTCAGCTGGAACCGTCCCTTGTGTGTGAAGTTTTGACACAATGAGCAAAGATTTAAATTGACTCCGTCCACAGTTACAGGTTGGATATATTGATCCATGTCCTCAGGTTTACACGGCCCTGCAACATTTAATAGGTTGGATTAGAATCCGATTGTAACGACAAAAATGATACACATTTAGTTATATTTCCAAATTGACAAATATTTTTTACAAAAATTACTATTCAAGCTGGTTTAGTTTTATGATGCCTGTACAAATGATTTTCGTACGCTTTCCTGGTGGGAAGAAACTTGTTACAGTGAGTACAGGGGTAGGACAGGGAACCAGGGAAATGTTTGCTTTCAATATGATTTATCACATGATGCCCAGCCCTAGAACCAACAACATTAAACGATGCACACCACTAGTATGGAAAATAAATTTAAAAATTATGAAATGAAAAACAGAATTTATCTTTTTGAACAATGAAAGTGGAACCGATATTTTTGTTTTAAGTTTATTTAAAAAAAAAAAAATAACATTTTTGTTTTGATTGTGTGCATTGTAATATTTGCCTATGATTGAATAGATTGCAGAGTGTACACATGTACATGGTTCCACTCTCCCCGGGGTATGTACACATGAACATCTTGAGATCATCAGGACACGTAATTGCTGAAACAGTACAATTGTACAGCAACGCAAACATGGAAAATTTTTAAAAATTAAAAGAAAACAAAGAACTGAAAGTACACTAATTTACAAACATTTATAATAAAAATTTTAAAAATTAAAAACTGGATTTAATGAACATTTTCTTTTATGGTGTTCCAGTGCTTTCCGAGTATTAACAGTTTTCAAACAAGCATGACATGTATGTTTAAATGAATTTGGAAAATGTTTTGATTCAATATGGTTGAGGGTGTGATGTTTGGTTTTATGAGTAAACAAATTGCAGAATGTACACTGATATCCCCCTTCCACTCTAGAGGCATATTCTTCAAGCAAACTAGTTCGGGCTTCACTATCAACGCCTTAAACATTATATCCTTCTTTATCATCAACAACTTAATAAAAAAAATGAATATCATTTATGACAAATCAGAACTTAAAATAAAAAAGGCATAAGTGATTATGGATAATTTATTAGTGTTGGTACGATTTATGCGTATTATACGCATTTTTAGTATTAAAATATTTTCCACACAAATCACAGGAGTAGGCACCTTCAGTAGGAAAATGTTTTGATTCCAAATGCATTTTTGCCGCGTACCGATCTTTTGCACTTCGACTGCAGATTGTACAAATATACATATTATCTTGTTTATCTAGATAATTACGTGCAAGTACTTCTAGGCGTGCTTCATTCGAATCTAAAAAAATACATTTTTCAGATATAGAAACATATTTAAACTTGAACACATGCAAAATATTACAATTTATCTATGCTCCATGGACTTATGAATCTTAAAAGCATTTTTAGTATTAAATGTTTTAGAGCAAATTTCACACTCATAACCGTTAACAGTTGGGAAATGTTTGGATTCAAGATGTAATTTTGCGGCAAATTTGTCTCGACAAGGATGTCCACAAACTGTACAGTTGTAATGTATTCCAGTCTTTTCAAGATAGTTTCCCGCCAAAACATCTAATCTCAGCTCGTTGGGATCTAAATACATTAAAAATACATTTTAATGACTGGTGGATTTATGGGATTTAAACGCATTTTTAGTATTAAAAGTCTTGGCGCATATTTCACACTTGTATCCGTTGTCAGTTGGAAAGTGTCTAGACTCCAGATGTAATTTGGCCCCGTTCTTGTTTCTGCTGAAGTGTGAACACACCCGACACATATACCCTAGTCCATCCCGTTCCAGATAGTTCAATGCCAACTCATCCAATCTCGTCTCATTCGGATCTGAAGTATTAACTTTTTTCAATTTGAACGTTATTTATCAAAATGTTAGAATTGTTAAATTGTTTTGAGACAAGTTTTCTGGTGGCAGGTTAGAGCATTCTTAGTGTTTGTAGTTTTCCCGCAGTTGTAACAAGAATATCCGCCATCTGTAGGGAAATGTTTACATTCTAGGTGATCCTTGGCCGCATACTTGTCTCGGAATCTTTTATTACAAAGCGTGCAATTATATCCTCCTCCCAGATCCCGGGTTAAATAAGTATCTGCCAGCGCCTCCAGTGACCGGCCTGCAACATCAGAGACTCAAACGAGGGAATATTCTGGATTTTAATAAAATATTACGGTGAAACTAAAAATTGTTGTTTATGCATCTATTTATTAGCTTACACACAGTATTGAAATATTATATATATACAGGATTAGTTTGTACAGGTGCTCTCCGAGATTAAACAAAGTTTGAAACGTTGTGTCCTGTGAAAACGTTGGATGGGACGAAATTGCAATGATCTTGATGGGAGCTCAGAGCTTTCCTTGTATTCATCTTCTTCTCACACTTAGAACAGGAGTAGGCACCGTTAGAAGGGAAATGTCGACCCTCCAGATGATTTTTGCCGGCATATTTGTCACGGACAGGTTTGGCACAAATCTTGCAAATATATCCTCCTCTTTGAAGGTCCTTGGTCAGATACTGCTCCGCGAGATCTTCAAGAAATCTTGTATCCTCCAGACTTCTACGTTCGCCTGGTCTACCTGTAATATTGTGAGATCAACAAACATTTATAAATACAAATTAATTTGGAAAATATATATTTTCTATAGATTATACATTGGACTTATTGAAATCTAAACCAACTATACTCTTGATTGAGATTTCAGACAGTTAGATCTATGAGAGGTAAGGGAGGTTCTAGTGTTCAGAACTTTGCCACAAATATTACAAGAATATCCTCCAACAGAAGGGAAATGGTGGCACTCAAGATGATCTTTAGCTGCATATCTATCCCGTACAGCTTTGCCACAAAGTGAGCATGTATACCCTCCCCTCTCTTCACGGGTTAAATATATTTCAGCCAATTCATCCAAACTTCGTCCTATAAATAGTACACAACATTAACACTGATAAAAGATGATAAAATTGCAATGATTGGATATATTTAACATGGTTTAGGCTTCATACAATAAGTATAATGTGAAGTTAGAGCATTTCTTGTGTTCATAGTTTTGCCACACAAATTGCAAGAATATCCCCCATATGTTGGAAAATGTTTGCATTCAAGATGATCTGTTGCAGCATACTTATCGCGTAAAGTTTTGCTACAAACTTGACAAGTATACCCGCCAATGCCGCTAGAATTTCGCTTCAGATAAATACCAGCTAATTCTTCCAGGGTTCTTCCTATAAAATCAACACTAGTTACACTACAGTAAAGAAATAATAAAATATTAGAAAATTTAATTGACAACAATTATACATTTAGCACCTAAAAGAAACAAAGTTTAAATTCAAGAAATATATTGATTTATTCACAACGGTTTAGAGTTACGATGGANATTCAAGGATTTCGAACAAGACGGACACATGTATGCTCCATTAGTTGGGAAGTGTTTGGATTCAATATGACGCTTCGCGTCAGTCCGATCCCGCAGATATTTGCCACAAAGTTTGCAGCAGTACTTCCCCATACCATTCCTCTCAGTATATTGTTGAACAAGCTCATCAAGACTTAGTCCTAAAACAAGTCAGTTTAAATTTTAAAAGATTTAAAATTTATGAAAACATTTTGAATTGCAATTAATTTATTTCATGCTGATTAGTGCACAGTTTTTTATATGAAGATTCAAAGCGTTTTTAGTATTCATACATTTCCCGCATTTAATACAAGAGTATCCGCCCTCAGTCGGAAAATGTCGACATTCTAGATGATTCTTGGCATTATGTTTATCACGTAAAAGTTTGCCACAAATACTACAGATGTATGCACCCCTCTGTTCTCTTGTCAGATATCTTTCAGCCAAAGCATCCAAATCACCTGAATAAGAAATCGAATTTTACTCGAGTAGAAAAATCTATTTGTGATATCTTGATTTGTGTTTATACAGCGCATGTTTAGTGCGTAAAAATTTGCCACATAAGTCACAATTATGGCCTTGTGATGGAAAATGAATGGATTCAAGATGATTTCTGACCGCTGATCTATCCTGACAATGTTTGCCACATTCACGACATAAATATCCAGTTCCAGATTTCTCAATGAAATTATCAATGATAGCTTCCCAATCTGATACAAGCATACCTAGAAAAAAAGTTCCAATTATTCCATACTATTGGGATATAAAGCTTTATTTGTGATATCTAGATTTATGAGTGTACAACGCATGTTTAGTTTTCATAAATTTGCCACAAAGATCACAGTTGTGGCCTTGTGACGGGAAATGAATAGACTCAAGATGATTTCTGGCGGCAGATTTCCCTTGGAATTGTTTGCCACATTCACTGCATGTATAAATAGAGCCAGACTTCACAATGAAATTATCTATGTTTGCTTCCCAATCACTTGGTGGTACAAGCATACCTGGAACAAAAATTCAATGTCAAAATTGTGACAAAGATGAAAAAATTGTGACAAAGTTTAAAATAAGACATTTTAATTCAACCCAGGATTTTTATGATGTCTGTACACATGGTTATTCAAAGCGTTTTTGGTTTTCATAAATTTCCCGCACATAGGACAAGTATGCCCTTTAGAGGGGAAATGGAGGGCTTCAACATGGTTTCTTGCAGCAGTTCGATCCAGACAGTGTTTTCCACATTGATTGCAGGAATATCCAGAACCAGTTTTAGAGATGAGATTTTCCAGATTCAATTCCAGATCCTCCAGTTTCATACCTGGAACAAAAAGGGAGACAGTTTAGTTTCCGGTCTTCATTTTTGATTGTGGATCCGAGACATATGGATCCAGTAAGCATTTTTGGTTTTCATAAGTTTGCCACAAACTAGACAGGTGTGGCCCTGGGACGGGATATGAAGGGCCTCCACATGGTTTCTTGCAGCTGTCCGATCCCGTACAATTTTGCCACAAAACGTGCAGGAATATCCCATGTCTATTTTCTCAACATAACGTTCCAGGGTTGTCTCTAATTCAAGGTGACTCATGCCTAAAATTATTAAAAATAAAAAAAAACGACAATGTTTAACTGTTTATATTTTTATGATATCTACACATGTGAATTTGTAAGGCATTCTTAGTATGCATGAATTTTGAACATATTTCGCAATTATAACCGGCCGAGGGTATATGCTTAGATTCCAGATGGTTTCTCCCTGCAGATTTATCTGCACACACTTTTCCACATAGAGTACATGTGTACATAGAACCAACAGCTGATTTTACAAGATATCTTTCAACAGCAGGCCCTAAAAATTTATCCAATTTGAAAAAAGACAACAAAAATTAATTACGCATTTTATGGTATTTAGAATTATGACATCTGAGGGCGTGTTGGGTTTTACAAACTGAAAAACATGTTTTACAAGTATATCCGTGACTGGAGGGGAAATGATAAGCCTCCATGTGCTGTTTCATTGCATAGAAATCATTTCTTGATCTTCCGCACAGAGTACAGGTGTAACCTATCTGGTCACTTTTGCTACAGTTCTCTCTGGTAACGGATTCCAAATCTATAAAACAAATTCTCGTATCAAACAGAAATACAAGTTATCGACCTATATTAAACACATGCAAATATAACTATAATTAACAATCTTTGAATTGTTAAACTGTTCTCTTATTATGCATACAAGATATGTGTGCGTTCAAACTATTCTCGTTCTTAAAGGTTTTCCCACAAGCAATACAGCGAACCCTCTCCCCAACTGAATGATGAGATATAAAGTGTTGTCTCATGTTCCCAGCATGTGTCGTGACTTTATTGCAAATAGTACATTGGCACTTTCCGTCTCCGATTCGAACATAATTTTCTTTTAGAAAATTCTCGAAGTTTTGCTCCTCTCTTGATCCTAAAATCATGATGCAATGATAGTATAAATCTAGGATATTAAAAGTAACCGACATAACTTATAAACCTTGATTTACCTCCTATTTACAAATTTGTTAAAATAACCTCAGGTTCCTTGGTTCAGTTTTGATTCACTTATAGTATTTGTGTCACTTGACTATTTCACACGTGACTTGACTGACGAGTGTGTGTTCATAAAGATAAAAATTCTCACCTTTGGCAATAAATAACATTTAACAATACAAAATAATAACTAGTTAAAACCTGCAGTTTTAAATATTTAAAAAAAGTTCACAAAATATGCTAGAACCTCACCCACCCAGCAACATAGTAAAAAAAAAAATAACAAATGAAAAAATGGCGCGGGAAAAGGAAGGAACAATATCAATAATTTATTTTGCGCCATTTCTTCCGACTAGGTTAAGAGACAAGCAATGATTCTATTACTTGCCTCTGATAAAAGATCAGACCTTTAACATATATTAACCATTGGCTCTTATTGGATTTTTTTTTAAATATGGGGGGGGGGGTGCGTATACGAAATAGGATGGAGAAAAAATGCCTATTAATAAAACAAATGGAATAAGGAACTAACAATACAGAGAAGCGAGCGGCTATGGAAAGAGACAAAGTTGAACAATAAAGTAAAAAAAGACTTATTTACGATTTTGATTTAAAAAGGCCAAATTTATTACTAAAAAAAATGATCAACTTTTCCCCAACAAACTTTCCCAATAACATCATAACACGTATTCCAAAAATCCTTCCAAACTTAAAACACAAAAATCATAAGCAGGCAATCAAGATTCAAGAATGATATCTTAAAAATCTGATCTTAAAATAAAAGTGTCTTCCTACCTTTATTGCCGTCTCCAGTCATGTTCGGGTCCATCATCGTTGAATCGTAGCTTTGGTCATATCCTTCGTAATCTTCGTAATTATCCTCATACGCGTCCTCTTCGGTCTGCAGCTGATGCTGGTTCGAGGTGGCAATGGCGGTGTTGTTAGAATACGGGTCGGATGGTACAGAGGCGATATCACGAGGTTCACTTTTCACAGGAACTACTTCCTGAATGTCGTCGTCTTGAATGAATGCGGGGGCGGGAGGATTGGGCCGAGGACGCTTTGGAGCAGGGGCAGCGGACTCGGAAGCTCTAGATTTGGATGGAGGGGACTTGGGAGCAGAGTTTTCCTTCTTAGTAGAACCAGAGTTGTTCTGTGTGAGACCCTTGACTCTGAGTTCTTCAGCAACTGCGAGGAAAGAGTTGAGTTCATCCTGAGCAACATTAACTTCACCATGATACATGAAGTTTAAAACTGATTGTAGATCAGAGTACTTGACTCCTTTCAGGTACAAGAGCGGATGCTGGTGTGGATTTCTTTTCAGGATGTTTCTAAAGAATGGACTGCAGGCACTCAGTATCACCTTGTGGGCCTGAAGCTGATCATCATCACATGCCAGAGTTACGTCAAAAAAGTCTTTTTCATCACGGATTTCTCGGAATGCGAGACTTATATTACTTTCAAAGTCATTCCACTTGAGACAAAACTTCTCCGTCCCCATCTTAATCTCTCTCCTGAAACAAAAGATATTATTCAATAGCTTTTACATTACTAGAAGAGCTTCAGAAAACACTATAAAGAACTGATATGCCAGTAAATATTTTAATTAGAGATTTATCACAATTGTTTTGAATATTTTAAGTTAATTTCAAGAAGTCTGAGAAGTTTTAAACTTAGGAAATAAGGTATGGGGCATTCCGGAAGTAGACATATTTTATGCTTCACATTAAAAGAACATATATTTCAATATTTCATGCTTTACGTTACTCAAAATAATTTAACCACCAATCCTAAACAGAAAGAATCAACAGGGGTATGTATTCTTAGAATTACCCTCCCCCCTTTTAAGTTTACTCTAAAAGATTCGTCTAAAAAAATTTGATAGAGCAACATTTTTCCACCTTTGCCTCGTACTTTCTATTATTTCAAAAAAAAGTATTTCCAACAAATTAAAAACAGTTATTTAGCTTTATTTGACAAATATTAGACAGAAATTTTTTTGGTCTCTAAAAATAGCTTCATTTTCCCAGTTCAACGCATAAACCCTAAGGGCAGTCATACATTCCTTAAAAAACGGTTTTTTTTAAGGAGAGAACAAAAAAGATTTAAAGTATATCGCAGGGGCATTTCACGTAGCAAGTTATGACTGAAGAAGATTTAAGTATGAATATTGTAAATTTCCTTTAAACATATCCCCCCCACACACACATTATAAAATGCATTTATTTTTCAGATGCACAAATCACCACCCGCTCGACGGGGTGAAAATCTTGAAAATATATACCACGACTAAAAGATACTGTTACGGGGGGGGGGGGGNCCCCCCCCCCCCCTCTAGAAACCTAATAATTAGGCCGTGGGTTCTAACATTTTAAAAATAGGTCTCAAAAAAAGAAAATTAAGTGGAGTTAAATAACCAGCAATTTTTAATACCTCGAGGGTTGAGAAACCAGAATTTACTTTAAAACCCCAACGCTATGTAATTCTAATCCTTTCTTTCAGGGCGATTTTTTAGAAATTTCACAGAAATATAAGTTACTAGCCTTAGAGGGCGCTTCGCGCCCATCTTCTAAATTAATTGTTAACATGTTCTCTTTGTGTACATCGTAACACAAAACAAAAATAATTCGCGGATTTTCACAAAAAAATTCGTGGATTTTCAAAATTTTCAAAAATTTAATGGAGATCGAATTTTGATGGAGACAAATATTTGAAATGTTGATCATTCATAAACCTTCCCTGGGGTCCCTAGATGTCCCACAAAAAATTTGGGCCCGATCGGTTCAGCCGTTTTGACGTTTATTGGATACAAACAGACAGACAGACAAGCCAAGCAAATTTATATATAGAAATAATGGGAACCCAGCTTAGTGAAAAGTCTCCCAACTTATATTCCTAAACCAGCCTAATGACATTCCCGTGAATCTACCGAGTTTCAAAGTCGAAATTTTAGGCGCTTCGGTCAGTGAGATCACGTGTTACGATCGGACATTCAAACATGCATTACTGCTTTAAAATGGGGTCTGTCCTAGAGCACGATTTTTGGACACCCCCACTGTACTAGCCGCAGCGTTCGGCCCAGAAAGTGTCTTAACCTAACCTAACCCTAAATACATACTAATCTTATATGTAGGAAATGGATATAATTGACAATGTGACCGCAGCGCTCGGCCCCCTAGCTTGGCCTAGCCTCAGCGCTCGACCCAGTAAGTGTTTTAACATAACCTTACCCTAAGTAAATACTAATTTATTAAAAATTGTTGAAAAAGTGGTCATGTACAAAATTTATAGGAGGGGGGAGGGCCCAGGGGGAGGCGGGGGGTCCAAAAATCGTTTTCTAGGACTGACCCTGGATTTGTCTTCCAAACCGAAATAATGTTTATTTTGTAATATTTTAAACTTAGATTGGGGGGGGGGGCAAGAAGACCCATTACAGAGGATTCATAAAATAATTAGCAAAGTTAGTATGAATAATGAAAGAAAAAATATCTAACTAACGAAATATTTATAACGAACAAAGAACAAAACTATTTACCTTTAAACAATCAATAGAACTATGCTGCTTGCACTTCATATAATTCACATATTTTCACCGAATTCAATCACACGTGATCTTATTGTTTACTTAACTATTTTCTGAAGAATGTCAGTTGGTAAAAACAGAAATATATATCTTTAATGAAGAGCTGTATGGTTTCTGGGCGAGTTCAGATCTCAAAATGGCGCCTGGTGGGGGGAAGCGGGGACCAGCTTTAGATAGTTTGGGGAACACAATACTAAACTTTTACCGGCAGGTTTTCCGTGCGAGTACACAGACAGACTGGGCTGGAGAGGTCGAGACGGTACTAGGGCTAATCAGACCGGAGGGGACGGTACGGTAAGTAGGCGGGGAGAAGGCTCGCCGACATTGTGTCTCGGGAGGGAAGGTTGAATAGCGGCCCCGCTCCCTTCCTCTCCTTCCTGCGATGTTAACTCCATCTATATTAAAAGTATATATTTTAAAGATTTAATTACAATTTATAGATTAATTGCCCTCAGTCCCCTCAGATAATGATTTGCACTGCATACCCCCTTTAACATCCCCCCCCCCCAATCCATGCAAGCTATTGCTATAAGATTTACAAAGCTGGCATTAAATGTTGTTTTAATTGAATTATATACGAACTTCATGTGCTGAAATAAAGACCTAGTATATGAAAGGAATTTTCGAGGGGCCCTGGCAAGGTAACAGGGAAAGCGTAAAGCTATGAAAGGTCGTGAGGAGAAGGAGCTGGGGAGGGGGAATGGGGGGTCGGGAGGGAAGGGAAGATTTCGAGGGGTATAGTGCGCAATGGAATGATCGTGTTTCGCGTGTGTGTGTGTGTGTGTGGGTGAAGCGGGGGGGAGGGTGAAGGTAAAATTAAAATTACTCTTCTGAATTTTGTATTCTTTTTTCAGCCTGTAGATCGGACTGCAAATCGAGGGCCATTAAAGATCGAGAAGAGAGTGAAACTCGCGTATAGGCAGAAATAAATTTCTATAAGAAAATCAAAATAAAACATCTTAGAAATAGGATAACTTTAAATAAAATATAAGCTACACAACACAAACTATACAAAGAAAAAATAAGCATATATTGAAAATAGGATCAATATTCAATAATCAATAAATATGAAAAATTATAAACAAGTAAAATGTAAAGAGTAAAAAGAAGCAGAGAAATAAGAAGGAATACGATTGTAATTAAGAAAATTAAATTAAACATAATCTAAATCAAAAAGTAGATTGCACAATTAAGAGGAAAAGAATAAATACATAGAGAAAAACACATGAAAAAATAAAAGCATTAGAGAAAAAAAAATTTAAAAGAAACTGAATTAAATTTAAAAATATAAAATTAAAAATTAAACAAAAAGAAAATAAAAAATAACTATACCTGAAATAAGATTACAGAATAGAATGAAGAGAAATAGAATAAACATGAAGACAAATAGAAGAGAAATAGAATAAACATGAAGAGAAATAGAATAGACATGAAGAGAAATAGAATAATTATGACGAGAAATAGAATTAACGTGAAGAGAGAGAAATAGAATAAACATTCATATTTTTATTCAACTACAAAGCATGAGATATTACAAATAAGCAATCACAATTTATTATGCAGTTCGGATCCGCCTAACCAGGGTACATTGTTTTGAGTGGTTGGCCCTAAATTAGTTAGCGATACTAAATATTATTGGTTACACGCATAAAATTATGTTTTTGCATAGGTAAGGAGTTGATTGGAAGAAAGGAGATTGTCAGGTGATCTGTGGCAGGGTGAGATCAGAGGGATTAATATAGAGTTAAATTAAAATACAAGGTGTTAAGCATGGTAGATACACAATTAAGCTAATAAAGTTTCAGGTTTTTCTATAAAATTTATTCATCACACGATATACAACAAGGTTTTTCGCATTTAAACCTCTCATTATTCTCAAGATAAATATTGATTACTCTTTGTTCAAATATTTTTGCAGATTTAGTTTCTTTAAGGTCAATTTCAATTGCATTCCACAATTTAGGAAACATCGTGCATGGACGGAAAGCTTTCAGATTTTTGTTTCAAACCCGTTCTAACTTATATGATTTTGTTCTATTCGGTTCAGCTAGAGACTTAAACATATTTTGGAAGGAAGAGGAAAGGTTATCATTAAAGTATCCATGCATAAATGTCAGAACACAAAGTTTGTTTGTATCATCAAGATTAAGAACTTTCATGTTTTGAAAATAATGAATTTGAATGTGCCTTGAAAGTACTATTATTAACCGCTTTTTTTTGCAAAGATCTGATTTTTTGCGTTTAGAGTTCTTAACCCCTCCTCAAGTAACAATTCCATATTCAATATGAGGCTTTACAAGAGAGTAATAAACAAGTAGACGAATGTTTAATGGTAAGATATTCTTAATTTGAGACAAAGCAAAGATTGAGCTGCAATTTTATTCAAGATATGTTTAATTTCAAAATCCCAGTTTAAAATTCGTCAAGTTTAAGTCCAACAAAGGAAATGAGTTTTTCAACAAAATCTTATTTTCTAATTTGTATGTCTTCTTAAAGGGACTGTAAAGGAAAAGTGAAAGGGGGTATAGGCTGAAAGCTAATCACTATAGCTCTTGATCGCGACCCATGAAAGTTTTATCTGATATGTTCCTGTCTCGAGAAATTGATTTAAAACTGTGTTGCAATTATACGAAAGTTCATATATGTAAAATTTAGAAAATCTTAAATTTAAATCACGTGACCAGAACTATCACCAATGGCAGAGCAGTATACTGATCACGTGTCTCCGCCTGTATCACATGACCACTTTACTGCACTGCCATTGGTGGAACTTCTGGTCAAGTAATACGGAAGTATAAATAATATTTTGAATTAAATCTATTAAAAATAGAAATAACAAATATAAAATTAGAATTGGAGTAAACCTAAGTTACAATTAGCTTTCTCTGGGATATCATAGTTTTCAGATTGGTTGCATATTTGCTGAATTTGATCTATTTAAACGCTCTACTTTTATACAAAATTGTATATATATTAATTTTCGTATGAATTTGACACAGTTGTATATCAATTTCTCGAGATAGGAACATCAGATATAACTTTCATGGGTCGCGATCGAGAGCTAAAGTGATTAGCTTTCAGCCTATACCCCCTTTCACTTTTCCTTTACAGTCCCTTTAACCAAATTTCGTAGACCTTAGATATTTCAAACTATGCATTCTGTTAGATTAAATAGTCTAAGTTTGAAATATCAAAGGATTACACTATTAGGTTGAAAAGATATAGAGGTTTAAAAATTTGAGTTTGTGGGAAATATTTGTTCACACAGACATTATCAATTCTTTCTAGTATCTCATTTCCTATTGATAAATTACAACTGTTGGGGTCAAAGTGTGATATATGACATCTAGTCTCTCCTTTCATAAAAAATGGTAATATCCTTTCTGGTATTTATTTGCTGTATCGCTGCTACTAAAAAAAATATATATAATAAAAAATCAGCAAACAATTGCAGAACAGGTTTTTAGAAGTTTTATACTTTATTTATATGGCCGAAACCATTTTAACTTTTTCTATTTAACTTGTATAACTTTCAATGAGGAAATTGAACACTTATTAATCTCTCTTTGTCCATCTATCAATCCTCATATTGTCTATTTCATTTGAGTCTTCTATTTTATGCCAGGGTAACAGTAATTGGTAACAAACTAAAATAGTATACCAGCATTGATAAACTCAGATTTGGCAAACTTATAACATTTTGGCCTTTATAATTTCTGAAAATATTAAACTTAGAGAATGCAAGGCTAAGTTAAGAAAATAAACTATAACATTTCTGGAGGCTCCGAACAACTTCAAAAACTTTCAAGAATGTCATACATATTTACATTGGATCAAAACAACTTTTGAACCAATAATAAACATGTTTAACCAAAACAGCCAACATTCTCAAAGCCTAAACATGGTTTTTGTCAACAAAGTAAATTGCGAAACACAAAGTGCATATTTTTATTTCTAAATACTATATACTTTGTTTTGGAGACATTTAGTGAAAAAAATTTGCTTGAAACCATTTTGCTGCTTTTTTAGTTCAGTGTTTGCATCAAGTATTAGGCGCAATGTCAGGAGATACATATGTAGATGACTTCAAAAAACTGTATCATCTGCAAAGAGGCTGGTAAAAAAAAGCTGTTGCATAGGGGCAAATCGTTTATATAAAGCAGAAACAGCAGGGGCCCTAGAACACTTCCTTGAGGAACACCACATTTTATAATTTGTTTTCTGTTGAAAAAACTCCATTTATACACAGACACACATATTGAGTTCTGTGAACAAGATACTTTTTTATCGAGGGTTCTGAAACCATAATGAACAGGGGCGTAAATAAGGATTCTGTAGAGGGGGGGGGGGGAAATAATTTTTAAAATTCGGCGCGAAGGCAGTATTGATTAAAGATTTTTTAATGAAACTTATAGTTTTATAGTAAAGGCCGGGCAAAAGTGAGATTTTAAAGTATTTTTTTCTATACGATGTAATTATCTTATATGGATTACATGCGTAAGTTCAAGTGACCCTTCATTTATTTAGGTCCGATGTACCTTTGAACCCAATTCATTTCTCCGGCGTTTCTGAAGCAAGAAATGCGCGAGTCATAACAAAAATATTCAGTTTTCCAAATGGGAAACATGGATTTTTAATTTGCAATGATCAGACAAGCTTTGAATTGGGTTAATGTTGTGAATCAGAATATATTTTAATTCTTTTCTTAATCTTAATTTGTTTTGGGTGAGTGCAATGCAATGCAATGTAGAATGTAGATTGCATAAGGAAGATGTAATATTAAAAGAACCCCCCCCCCATGAGTCCCACCAGTGCACAGTTTAAACTTAAAATCGAACGGTATTTGAAATTTCAAAATTTCTTTATAACACTAATTGTAAAATGCCTTGAAGTCATGTCGTTCAGTGCAATCGACTCGAACACCAGGTTCGAGAAATCGCTCGGACTATTGACCACGCGATTTGTGACGCTGTTGCAAGAATCAGAGGGAGGAATTTTAGATCTTAAAGTTGTAAGTTTACATTTTAGAAACAAACACGAAAATATTTTTACAGTTTTCACATTTTTCTTAAATTACCATTACTCTAATTTTAGGCCGCAGATACATTAAACGTCCGTCAAAAACGACGAATCTACGATATAACAAATGTGCTCGAGGGAATAGGACTGATTGAAAAACGGAATAAAAACTGTATAGTTTGGAAGGGAGCAGTTGCAGGAGGAAATACACAGGTATGTAAATATATACTATAGAATTCATATTGAGATAAATTGTTATTTTGGTAATTTGGTG